CACTAACGGGGGGGATAGACCCAGAAGATACTTTGGAATAAAAGAAGATCAGAAAGTAGCATTCCATTGAGGACTTCCATTTCCTGGATTTTGCCCCTTACCGTGGCTCCATCGTTGGCTTGGATCTAAAAAGTACCCTTTTCACTCTTCTTTATTTTTATCAAAGTTTAGGATACATTTCCTGCCCCTTAAACATCACACCGCGGTCCAGCTCCTGCGCTAAAATGGAATTTATATATACAAAAAAAAAAAAAATGGAAAGAAAATTCCGTGCATAGAAGATTTGGTTTTGTTTTGATTATTCGTTGGCATAGCTCGTCGACTGGTGTTTGCTTGTTCTGGGCCAGGCCAGAAAAGGCGGAGAGGGGGCCCAGACCAGACCAGAACCAGACCCGGACCCGGACCCGGAGGATGCGCCAAATGGAAAGAGGAATAGTTATGAACGATGTGATGTGCAGGTTGCATAAAGCAACACGTTGAATTTGAATAAAATGTGAGGCAAGTGAGTGAAATATTTACAGAGGGGAGCCACAGAGAGTGGCAGATGAATAGGAGAGCCTGATAGCGGGCTTCAGGGGGGGAGAGGGGGGAAAATATGTGGCACAAAGTTTGATTTATGAGTTCGATTTGTAGATATTCCGATGTAAACAGAAACCAAAGCTGAATTTTTCACAGAAAAATGTGGCAGGAGTAAAAAGATGCAAATTTGGTGTAAAAGTTTTTTGCTTTAAATTTTATTAAATTTACAGACTGATTCGGACTTGATTTAGAGCTAAAAATTGATTTTATTGGTTACCCAAAATTCAATGAAAATTTTGAAAAAACCACAAAAACTTGTAGAAGAATTCTGCTGGTATTTTTCTTGAAGATCTTGCCTAAAAAAAGAGTTCCATCGGCAAAAAAAAAAACTTGAAATTTCTTTAGAGAAAAATTTGAGCAGAAAAAAATGCCACTGAAAACCGAAGACTTCAAGTGAAAAATTGAGCCAACTTGGAAAACTTTTCCACTGATTGTTAAAAACATTGTCCGTCTCCGGAAGCAAGTTTTCCGTGCAACGCCCAAAAAAAACCCCCACTTTAATAAAGATAATAAAAAAAAGAAAATGAAGAAAAGGAAGAAAAGACCAGAAGCAGCAGATGGTAAAGAACAGAGGGGGGAAAAAAAACCGAGCCAAGATGAAATTGCATTATGTCGATTTTGTGGATTTTCCTATGCAAAGAGAAAAATGTAGGAAAAGCCGGGAGGGAAAAAAATCCGTTGGTTGAGACCCGGCTGCAAGTGGCTTAAAAAAGAGTGCCTCAAGATGTGGCAACATTGGTTTCGGACAGAAGTTACTTTGCATCTTTTAAGGGACGGGCCGGACAAAAAAAAAAAAACAAGGAAAAATGCAGAATAAAAGGATAAAGATAAAGATTTTCATTGGTTTCGGCTGCAGGCAGGTACTAGGATATTTCTTAGCCATTTCTCATAAAAATCATTCATTCATTTGCGAGAAGCTAAAGTGTGCTCAGGGTAGGAGGGGGGGGCGGAGGGGGAAAGAAAGCCACGAAACGAACTTCGATTGGGGCCTAAGGGAAACAGTGTTGCATAGAGTGGAAAGAGTGTTGGCAAAGGCTTCAAAAGTGTGCCAAGAATCCACTTCTATCTGGGTTTTAATAAAAACACAGACCACTGATTAGATTGATGTTAAACAAAGGCCTTAAAAGTTTCTTCTCGAAATTAAATTTTTCAATTTTTAATTAAGCTTTTTTTTTTAACATTTATTTCCTGTATTTTTTTAATGGTTTTATTGAAATATTGAGCTTTAAAAGAGCGCTATTAAAATGTCAAATAATTCTTTTTGATGTTGATGAATTGTGTGGAAAGATTAGAGGGTTTTATTAGAACAAAATGTGGAATACAATCAGAGGAAATGCCTAGAGACAAGGGGGATTGGGAGCACAGTATTCAGGCTGCATAGGAATAGGGCCATTGAAGCTCCTAATCTCTGCCCAAACAATTGGGGAATCGTGGGGGGCACCCTTTCCTCGTTTTATGTGGCATCTTCCAGTTTATCCCCCTGGATTCAGTAATTTCTGATGTGCGGCCTCACATTATCTGCCGTCTGCTGGGACAATTAAAAACAATTTTGCAGGCACAAAAGAGTTGGCAATAAATTTAATTGGGCGTCACCAGAAACGCCCATTGACTGGGGCGGAGAGAGAGGGAGAGGGAGAGGGTGAGTATTTTCGCACCTAGTGACAAGGTGTCTAGGGGTGGCCATTGTGGCTGTGCGACGAGGGGTGCCAGCAATTTATGCGGCTGTCAGTTGCAGGGGCAACTTGGATTTTTATTGGCACCCGGCACGCAGCCAGCCCCAAACGCTTAGCTGCCTCTCAAGTAATTGCATCGAGCACATAAATCAATTGAATTGCATTTTCATGCGACAAGTTTGGCCAACCCTCGAAGCTCGCTGCCGCTGCCGCTGCCCTTGTCTGCAATTGAAGTGAAAGCCAAAAGTAGTTTTTTTTTTTTTCCCCCTCCCTTCCAGCTGTCTCTCATCTTTTAAGCCCCCCAGTTGCCAGCCAAAAACCCCTTCAAGCAATTGAAATTGCATGCAATGCGTCACTGGCACGGCCCAGGACGGCCCCAACCCCCACTCACAGGGTGCCCCAGCACGTAAAAAGATTATCGGAAACTTCGTTTATGGCTTATCAAATTACATAAATGATTAATGTTTCTCTATGTTTGTGGCCTTCATTCTTGCCATCTTCCATCTTCCATCTCGTCTTCTTTGTCCTCTACGACTGCTCGGAAAATGTCAGCAACAGTTTTCATTTCCGTTTTTCCACACTCTTCAAATGGTTTCTGTGCTGCGGTTGTTGGGGTGTGGCTTGAGTTGTTGTTCAGCATTTTATTGGAAAAGTTTTCTGATCGCAAACACTTAGCTGATTTGTGGTTTTTGTTTTTTTTGGAAATCTAACAGATTCCACAAGTAGATGATATGTGGCTAGCCAGAAAATTGGTCTTCCATTTAAGTTTGTTACAATCTTTTTTTTTTGGTTTTTTGGATACGTTCCACATGGAGTCCACATATGTTCCACACATAAATTATGGGTTTTGTTTTTAAATTAGCAAGATTATTTAGTTTGGGTGTAAATTGGACAATGAAAATGGGTTCCACTTGGGTTCCACACTCCAAAAGCATATTACATACCCAGAAAATTGGTTAGTAATTTAAGTTTGATGCAAATTTTGATGTTTCAGACGTTTCAAATAGAGTCCACATATGTTCCACACATGATTCTTGGGTTTAATTTTAAATTTAAGAAAATTAGTTCGTTTTTGTTGAATATGGTCTGCACTTGGGATCCACTTGGGTTCCACATAGAAAAATATCCATATAATGTTTGAAATTGGCTTTTTCGCAGGCAAACTAGTGTTTATAGCTTTGATCCCCTTGGAGTCCACACAGATTCCACACTGGATAATCGCCAAAAACATAATTCACCCCCAAAATCGCAGTCAATAAGCTCCCACCGTTTCCCACATTTATCGTCCTACACCCCGGCAGTAAATTAGTGTTTTATTTGTCTTTTCTCATAAACAAAAGTTCACAGTTCCATCAGCAAATGTTTTCATCTTGCACACACACATCACTACGCGTCGTCCGCGCACGCACTCGGAGAGTATAACTCATCAGGGCACAAATTACAAAGACAAACGATGAGTGACAACCGCAAGGCTTTTTTGGAAGCGAAACGGAACGAAACGGTGGGAGGCAGGGAGGCCGGGAGGCTACAGCCTGGCCACCACTTAGCACCCACAATCCACAGCACCCCACGGGTGGGGTGGGGGAGGGTGGGGAGGTACAGGGCGGTGTTTTTGTTAATTAAACAAATGCCGCAGTGACATGTGCACATCACGAGATGTGATGACTTTGCCGGGGCTTGGGTTCGGGTCGGGTTTGGGTTTGGGGGGGCTCTGATGGGTTTGGGCCTGTGGTTTAGTGCATCTGCATTCGGTAGGGATGCGACACACACACAGAGACAGAGGCAGAGACAGAGAGAGACAGAGAATTCCGCTTGACAATAGCGCACACAAATAACGGGGGAAACGACGACAGCTCCAGCGACGACGACGACGACGACGACGATGGCTCCGCATGCAATTTAATTTATTTCAATTGCAACAGAATTATTACGACAGACGACAAAGTGCCGTCGCAGAGCAATTTGCCCAGCTTCCCTGACTATCCTCAATAAATTTTCCCTACCCCCTACCCCCTTTCTCTTTTTTTTTTTTTTTTTTAGGGAATTGTTAATAAACAAATTCAGGCGCGAAAGAAAGTAAAAGCAGTAAGCGTCAGTTTCAATTAAACAGACGCGTGGCATCCCGCGTGGCACATTCCAGGGTGGATAATGACCGCAGAGGGGCGGGAGAGGGGCAGGAGAGGGGCGGGAGAGGGGCAGGAGAGGGGCAGAAGAGGGGCGGCAGCACTCTTAGAGGGTGGTCCGAAACGAAGGCAGAGGAGACTGGGGGTTAGGGCCCCCAAAACTATGAGGCACAGGGGGCAAAAACCAAAGATATTTCCTGTGAAAACTAAGGAATGGATCCCCCCCCCCCCCAAACCAAGTTCCCAGGTCGCATTGGACTATTGTGCATCCCAAAAGAAGCACTGTACCCCTTTTGCACTGTATTTCCCCCCCCCCTTGCGCCATGCTCTCCTCTGCCCCTGCACCATGGGTGGCATAAAAGCATTCAATTTCGCTTGCTGTTTGTGGCTTGGCCAGTTTCAAGTGTAAATTAATTTATGAGGCACGCCATGAGCCCGGCGCCTGGCTGCGGTCAGTGTTGCCTCCCCCCCGCCTCCCCGCCTCCCCGCCTGGCAAATGTCAGGCAGAGTGTGAAATTTCATATTTGAATATTCGCCAAAAACGTTGACAAATGAAGTCTGCATAATTGGTTAGCATTTGGTTAGATAGAGAGAGACACACAAATAAACTGCGACTGGCACTCACCTATCAATGAGCCGATGATGAACAGAGCGGCCAGCAAATTGTGTTGGCCGAACATTTTGATTGCCGCCGGTGGCCTCCTTCTCCAATGGTTATCTGGAAAGGAAGAAGGAAAAAACAACAATTGGTAAATGAAACGTTGGTAGAATGGGGATGGCACGCCTCTGAGTCAGAAGTAATTTGTTTGCTTGTTTGGTTGAGCATAACAGAGACATTTCCAGGGTGTGCTTTGGGGTCTGCTTTTTGGGGGGGTGCGGCCGAAGCACAACAAGTGTGGGGGCGGGGGGAGAGCCACCTGTGATCTGTTACCTGTTACCCATCACCAATTCGTTGTCATCATTCAAATGTCATTTTGTGGGTGCGGGGAAGCCCCCGGCTTGGGTTCCACAAACTGCTGTTTGACATGGCACCTGACGCTAATCAAAACTACACATGAGCATGCATTTTGGTCCCCTCCCCCCCTTTACTACCCCCCTCCCCCCCTGTAATCGTTCCCTCCCCCTGGGCCGCAATTAAGCTCGAATTGAAAGTTTTGTTTTTGTGTCTGTGCCAACGAAAATGTTCATTAGTCCCCCCCAGCCGCACCACCCCACTCCCCCAAGGCTCGATTGGACCCCTCAACCAATCGTTCAATGATTGTCATCGTAGGTGTGACTAATTGTTGGTCATTTATCTTCTTTGCTTTCTGTTTTTTTTTCCGTTCTGCTCTTTGGGCGGTGGCGGAGGTTTCCATGGAAATCATGAATAATTTACGTTCTAAATGGCAGGACTGGGGATAGGCCTTATGTGTCTCTAATTGATGGATAATTGAAGGTCTGGGCACAGAGTTGATCAATTGACTGAAGATGAGCAGCAGATGATGAATGGAAACAGGGATTGGGGGAGGGAAGAGCGAATAGGGTCGAAGGAGGAGAATGAGGAAACTTTATAGCAATTTTCGGGACGGCGACCAGCATGCAGCTGATATCCGATTACCATTTGGAGCGAACCCCCTCCCCCCCTTGAAACTTTCATTCTAGCCATATTTCCACATCACATGTGAATGTGGGCCAATGGAATGCTTTGATTGACAAAAGAAAAGACACAGAGCCATGCGCCTCCACCTCCTACGCCTCCTCCTCCTCCTCCTGGTGGAAGAAGCGCCTCCCCCCAGGAATGATTGTCAAAAAGTGTTTGCATGCTATCTGCCGATCTGACAGATGTAAAACTTCAACTCCCACACTATGCACCCCCCTCCCCCCTCCCCCCCTAATGTGACTGGATATGTATCCGTAATTTCCGTCCGTGTGTTTTTGTCTTTGTATCAACAAGGACTCACTGCCATAGGCAACAGCCATTGCCTGCTCTCCTGCCGCCTATCCGGCTGTACGCCTGCCCCCCCGCCCACATTGTTGTTGTCCTGCTTTCCCCCCTCGACAGGTGCACGGAGTCCTCACATCGTCACACACGTCTCATTTTCCTGTATTTTCGTTTCGTTGCCTCGTTTTCTCGTTTTCTCTTCTTTTTTTTTTTCGTTGGCAGCAAACTAATTTCAAAGCAAATGCGATACAGTCACAAGTGACTGAGACGACGACGACGACTCCCCAGCCTGTTGTTGGGTTTCCTTTTGGGGCGGGGAGGGGAGGAGGGGATTGGTCTCGTGTGTCAGCCTGTCAGCGATACCCTCTCACTGAGGGCGAGAGTCCTAAATAACTTGAGCCAGGTGAGAAAAATACTCGTATATGTGGGGGGGGGGGGGGGGGGGGGATTGAGGTCAGAGGGAGACTTTAATCAAACCAATTAGAGGGGGGACTTAAAGGGTATTCGAACCACAGGATCTCCCTTTGAAGGGCACTCCCCAATTCGTTGTATCCTCGGAGCCACGATCCTTGGCCTGGCTCGCATGTTTTGGCAGCTTCATTTGCATAATTCCATCGTTAAGTGGCGGAAAAGTGTAATCGAATGAATGACTCACACCATCTCTGGGGAATGCCCCGCCCCCCACCCTGGACTCCAATTAAAAGTAAAATTTATTGAAAAATGAATTGAAAGTTTTAGCACAATGAGAAAATCATATGACACTCGTGCTGTCCTTCAGTTTTGGGGTCTCTTTTTTTTTTTTGACAAATGGACAAAAGACAAAAGGGCAGCCCCACAAGTGCCATTGGGGGCGGACAGGACAGGCTTTCAAATAATGGAAATTCAAAGAACTTGTACTTTTTTGGTCATGTGGTCGCTCTCTCTCTCCCTGTCTCTCTCTTTGGAAATGTGTGAAAATCCTGGGGAAAATGAAATGTTGCCAAGGACAAAAGCATATCCTCCTGCCCCTCCACAGCCCCTGACCAACGTATGGCTATGGAAAATTGAAAAGTTATCAATTACAGCTCCCTTTTGAGTGATTGACTTTCCCCCCCCCACCCAGCTCTCTTCTGAATGATGAACGTCTAGCATATGCCAAAAAAAAAGAAAAAGAAAAAGAAAGAAATGTTTTGTTCTTTGTGGCTCGACCCCTCCTCCTCCTCCCCCCAGCATTTTCCGTGCTTCTTCCCAGCTCAGGTTACAATTTCATGGCCCGCAGCGTATTGAGGTAATTGAATTTTGGTTTTTGGCCAGGCAGCTGCCCGATGGGGGCACGTGGGGGGGGCAGCATAAAAATGTTCAAATTACAAGTGCGAAAATTCGCAAAATTATTCAGCAGGTAACATAAATCACCCGAAAGTCTCCAGTTGTGGAGGGAGAGAGAGAGAGAGAGAAAGAGAGAGAGAGAAAGTGATGGGTGATGGTGCCAGGGATATCAGGATCAGGGTCGTAGTTCGATGGATAGCAAGTTTGCTTTAAAATAGTTGAAGGAACGAATGAACGATAAAAACTCCTGATTTTATTCAGAAATTACATTCTTTGGCCGCCAGAAATCTACATTTGTGCAGGGGAACTTTTATCTTTTAAGAAAAAAGTAAAAGTCTAATGAGAGGCACATGGAAGGCTTTTTTCTGCATTCAGATATTTAATAAAATATTTTTAATTATTATGCATACATATTTATTAATATTTTTAAAATATATTCAGAGCAGGAAATTTTTATTTATCTAACTTTATTTATTTAATAGTTTTTATTCTCCACAAATATACGAAATTATACAAAGTTTTAATGACTTATAAATTATAAATGAATTTTAAAAAATATTTAAATAAAATAATAATAATATACATAAATTTTAAATAATTTTAAAATATATTCAGAAGATATTTTTCCACAGCAGGAGAATTATATTATCACTTAATTTAATTTATTTCATACTTTTTGTCCTCTACGATTTTCCAAATTTACAATTTAACATAATTAATTTAATTTAAAAAAAATCCAAAATCAGGAAAAGTATATTTTTATTTAATATAATTTATTTCATGCTTTTTATCCTCTAAAAATCTACGAAATTTTTTTAAAGTTTAAATAAATAAAATGAAAATAAATTTTAAAAAGAACATAAAATCAGGAATATTATATTCTTATGTAACTTAAATGTTTTTAACGTTAACAAACCTACAAAATATTAAAAGTTAAAAAATTTAATTAAAATCCATTTAAAAACCAATTCGAAAGCACGACAATTATATTATTATTAACTTTAATTTATTTCATGCTTTTTATCCTTCACGAATCTAGGAAATTTAAAAGTTAAATAATTTAACTAAAATTAAATTTAAAAAAATTGAAAAGCAGGAAAATGATATTATTATTCAGTTTAATTTCATTTGATGCTTTTTATGACTTACAAATCTACGAAATTTCAAAAGTTCAAATAATTAAATTAAACAAAAATTCAAGTAAATTCAAAATACATTGAATATCCGCTCAGACCATCTCGTAATGCAATTGCCTTGCTGAATCATAGAATATGTAGATTTTTTCTTAAAATTTTCCACCCATAAATATGTTTTTAGTGTCAATTGTAATTCAATAGCCTTAAATCTGTTTCTATTGCCCACTAAATCAAACTAAAACAATCAAAAATAATGCACTCCCCCTCGCATGAAAAGCCCCTGCCCCTGCCCCTGCCCCTGTCCAAATGATGATGATGATGGCCAACGAATATTCATGAATATTAACCCAATGGCCGCACTAATTCGATTCGAGCACACAGAAGCACTTGACTTGATTGAAGGCAGATCAAGTTGCCGCAAATAAAAATGTTGAAAAATAACCAAAACTAAAATGATGATGATGGGAATTAATTAATAACTCGAATTGAATAAATAACACACAAAAAAAAAATAGATGTATAGCCGAGCACTGCCTGGAAATTCCATTGCAATGAGAAATTCTTTTTTTATAGAATTTATTGGTGGATGTGGGAGGGGGGGGATCTGGGGACAGCGGATCTCGCCCACTTGTGGCGTTGCCAAATCGATTTCAAAACTCCATAAACAAAACGGAGGCGGGCCTCTATACACCATTTGAGAAATCTCAAGCCATCCAATAAACCGAAAACAAGAACAAGAACGAGGAAAATTTATAAACAACAAAAACGAAGCATTTTGTTGGCTTTAATTTGTTTATTTTGTGCTAAAGAGCAACACGCATCGAGTGCCATAAAAAATCAACAGGCAGCAGGCAGCAGGCAGCAGGCCCCCGAAAAAACAATGGGGAGATGGGGTTGGGGGGGTCAGGGGGGGGGGGGGGGTCCGAGGGAAACTTACAAAATTTATAAACTGTGCAAACTCTGGCCGAGGGCAGCAATACGAGTGCGATTAAGAGTGAAAGCAGCACCCAGCAAAGAACGCCATAAAAAAAGGCAAAGAGATGGCAGAGAGAGGGCAGGGAGAGGGCAGGGAGAGGGGGAATACAATATTTATGCAAACGTCAATTGGCCTGCAATTGAATTGAGCCATGAGGCATGGGGCATGAGGCACGTACTTCTGTTTGTGCACCCTACAGATGGGGGGTACGTTGGCTGCGCTGCTGGGCAGGGGACTTGTCTCTAGGCGAGATATATCTTTGGGTAAAGCCTATGAAAGGCCTCCTATGAAAAGCCATAAAATGCTTCTTTTAAACCAGCAATTTTTAAGGATATCGCCGCAGCAAATACCGGAAGAAAATTAGGAAAGTCTGAGGGTTT